AATTGAGAGGGCGGAAGTCTTTGCAACAGGTATCTCACATTTCTGTCATTCCTTAGAATGAAAACATTCCTTTTCAAATGGACTGTACTTCTCTCCTGAAGCATGAGTTCAGTCCTCCATCAGGTTTAGCGTTGTTGTTGTTGGGGTAGTTCTTGAATGCTTCTGGGATTTATTGGTGTTTCAAATTTAATATCTGAGTCCTCTTGGAAAGGCTGATTAAAAATGCAAAATTGGACATATTACTGTAACCTTCCCTATGTCCCAGTAGTGTCCTCTATTATCTTTTTGAGGTAGCTTCTCTTTGTAAAGCTGCCTTAAATAAGTGTCTCTCTTCTGGTTTCCTTGATATTTTTTTCTTTCCTTGTCCTCCATGATCATTCTTAAAGACAAGCAATCGGGCTCTTGAATGTGATGTCTGCCAGTTGTTCAGTGTTACCCAGAGCTGAAAGTATCGGTTTGCCTTACTACGAACTTGAACTCGTATGGAAAACTTACTAAGAGCTAAGCAACCAGATAATGTGTGCAATGATAAAGGGCAGCTTTTTGAGACTTTGGGAAGGTTTCATTCATCAGCTCGAGTACAGTACTTCGGGGCCCTTGGGTTGAAAAGAAAAAGCTATACTGATATGTTAGCATTGATGTGGTCTTTCCTCCTTGTAGCATACTGTTTATCCCATTGTTCCAAGTCTTCAGGTAATTTTCTCAAGCTCTGCTCACTCTTTTCATGTGTTTTGTCTCTTTGGTCTGCCTGTTGATAAAAGCTAACATCTAGTTAGTTAAACTGGTTTTTCATTTTATTTCCATGACAACGTGGTTTGTATTTTGGCAGTGCTTTGTAGTTTTTCCACAGCAATTCTGAAAAGTCTTGCAACCCCTGTCCTCATCCTAGAGAAGGACTCAATCTCAAAAGTAGAACTGAGATGTAGCTTTCTTGTCCGAATCTGGTAGAATAGGTACTTGAATTTGGCTAACTAAAAACATCTATTTCTTTCCTTCCTCTCTCCCCTCCCCTAAAAAGAAAGAAAGAAACAAACAAAAAGGATAGTTACATCCCTGTAGAGAGATTTATTTTCCATCAGGTAACACATAAACAGAAGAAAGGGTGGGGTCAAGGAAAGTTGGTCCAAAGGTTCATAACTGGGTGCATTCGTAATGTTCCCTTTCTTCCTGGTTGATATTGCAGAGGGCTGCAGGGACTTTTAAAGGAACTGAAAATAGATTGATGCTCCTAGAAGATCAGGAAGCCACAGATCTAGGAGAAGCAAGCTGCTTTAGTTGCCTTTGAGAGCACATTTAGTAAAACAGGAAAATACCCCATAGAGCAATATATTTATATCCTCTAGAGCAATGGAGATGTGACCTGTGTGGATCCCAGTGTGTTCGTGAGCTTCATGTACACCGGAACTTTGGGGTTGGTTTGGTTTTTTGTTGTTGTGTTTGTTGGTTTTTTTTTAATGCTACATCTGCTAGGCAGCAAAAGTAGAAAATTCTCTTGAAAAAGATAATTTCATAAGAGACACTTGTGTCGTCAGAAGCCATTGTAACAAACAGTCATTGTCAGCAGCTTGCCTTCCCCTTAACATGGAAGTTTTCACTACAAAGGATTTCTTACTGGGGTGAGGCAGGGCTATCCAAGAACATGCGCCAGCAAACAGTTAACCTCTGAGTACTGCTATCTGTGCAGAGACATCCATGACAGAGGTATTTGTGATTCACTGCTGAATCCCCTTCTTCTGTGGTATGTCAGCAAAAGCTAACTACTCATTCTGCTTCAGTGCAAATATCGATCACTTGTGAAGCATAAGACAATTTCAGTAAGAAACCTACAAGTCTGCCATTTTTGGCATGGGCGGACAGCAGGTTCCAAAGTGGAAAGGAATTTGGGCTGTTTTCACCTCATTTCATCTGTTTAACACAGCCCCCAACTTTGAAATAGAAATATTGTCCCCTTTGATTAAAACAATGACTGTTAAACAGTTCTCTGCTCTGTATTTTTCAAGTGCTGGGCAATTGTAATGTTAAGAGAACAGCTTAGATGTTTAATTTATTAGGAAACTGATACTGTAAAAAGAAACTATTGGTCAAGTACCGAGAGTTGAATTTAAACATTTATTATTAAAGAAAAATTATGAAGCCTTGATTTAGTGCAGACACTTCTTCTGTGTCATTTAGCCCTTAAATGAAACCCAACCTTAATTGAAAGCATTAGTGCTGTGTATGATGACTCACTTTCATTTTCTGTGGATTTGATTTTGGTCCTGCAAAACTTCTGTAGACAAAAACTGGCCCTTGGTCCACATTTGAACACTTGTGCTTTGGTATAGGAAGGAAAGTAGCCTTTTGCTGAAAGGCTGTGGGGAATTTTTCTAAAATAAAACACCTCCCTTCCCCCCAAACTTTTCTGCTTTTCAGTTAATGAAAGGTTGGACAGGTTAATTAATTGGTGGTGTATCGCATCCAGAACAAAGAGCCTACCTGGCACTTCCTTTGAAAAGCATTTTTTGCTTAAATGTCACTTTATAAATGTCACCTTAATAATTTATATGCACATGAGCTTTGATGTTCTATTACACCATTAAAAAAAAAAAAAAAAAGAGTGGATGGGCACATTAAAATTTCAGATTTTGGATTGAAAGTGATAGCCTTCCAGGTTTGCTTTGGTACCCACACAGAGTGGGTCGGGGCGCCAGCTGGTGTGTTAGCTCATGGAGTTCAGTAGTCTCAGCCTCAGCAGATGGGGCACAAGAACAGAGTTCAAGTGAACAAATAATTGCAGATGTGGGGTTATCTACAGTGCCTTTCTGTAGTGGGCATGTGGGGACAGATGGAGGAGCTGGAGCAGTAGCACTGTGACAAATATTTACATACAAAAATCTTCATATTTTGTAGCCTGATTGTTATTCATCTCAGGAGTAAAGCTGCTGTTTTCCACCACTGCCCACCCCTTGGCAGGAGCAGGGGGGAAGATGCCCTTTTTATGTATAGGAAATGAAGACCAGGTCAAACAGTGGAGCAGCTGCTCGGTGGCTTTTGAACCCCCCATGCCACAGCAATGTGTCCAGCAGCAATGGTGTGCAGCTCCGGGGGTTCTTGGGCCACGTGAACCCCCTGTGGGGGCTGGTTTTACTGCGTGGTTCTGGGATCTGCTGGACTTGGGCCAGTGAGAGGTCTGGGGATCCACCATTACATGTTGCTGCTAATGACTCCAGAAGCTCCTTTTCCCTGTCTTCAGCTCCCTGTGGGATGTGATGTGTTCCTTTGCGTCTTAGCTGCGGTGAGGTGTGGTGGATGGTGAAACGAAGAGGAGATATGAAAGCCAGCAGGCAGGAAGAGTAGTCATATACTAAAGAAAAGAGGTTATTTACGACTTCAGGCCCCTTTAAACAGGGAAACAAAAAGCAGAGATGGGACAAAACAGATCTTTTACATTTCAGCAGAGGTTTTAGATTACCTTTAGATTGCCTTTGTGTATTGAATGTAAAATAGGAAGGGATCCATTTCTCATTTGGATGCAGCTATTTCTCCTGTTGTTCAAGAAATCGGAAATGTTGTCAGAGTACTAATTTTGCAAGATCTGCTGTGTTGAGAATGCCCTGGGAAGGGCTTCAATATGTCCATGCTGTTGGATGAGAGCCTTTTCATATATTGAAGTTGTGGTCCATCTACCAGTGGCAAATCTTTTCTAAGCCCTAGGCAGACACAGATACTGCCTTTTGGGTGAAAAGGCCTTTGGCAAAGAAAAATGGTAGAGAGGGGATGAAAAGAAGGAACAAATATAAAAGCAGGATAAAATCTTCAACAACCAGCTTTCCTGGCTGAATGTCACAGTTGCCCCCTTGTCTCTGATTTTAAGTCAATGAAAATAGATAGGATTTTTTTTTTTCCTCAGCCCGTTCTCTGTGTTGCTGATGGGGTAGTATTCATGTAAATTTTTGCATAAAAAAGAAAAGTAGAAAAGGGTTCTCCAGAGCTTTTTAGACTAATGCCTCTGTGGCTCCTGGTCTGCCTTGTACTGGACAGTCTAGCTATCTACTTCTTAACTCCCAGTCACAACTGATATTGAAACAGAGTGATTGCAAGTACCATTAATAAAAATCTGAACACCACTACTGATAAGAATTGGTCCTTTTGACTAGAAGAGCTTGTTTAAAGAAAGACATAAATCTATAACTGAAGATGAGGTCTTTGAAGGTCTTAATTTCCCAGAACCCTTTGTCCTAGTGAAGATGCAAAGTTTTGTGTGGATGGAGAAACAAAAATGCAAATCTTTATGTTGCAATATGTTGCTGTTTTATGAAAGACTTCTTTTTCTTCTGCCCTCCCCTTCCCAACGGGTCATAATTGTAACACAAGAAAACACAAGTCTGCTCATAGTAGTGGCAAGTCCAAATGACACTGCTAGAGAAATCATTCAGGCACACACACACTCTGCGTTGATGTGTTCCTCCTTACTTTTTAGTATTAGTTACCACATTTACTAGAAGTACAGTTCCCTTCCAAACATTATTAATAAAGAACTCTAGCACTTTTTCAAAGGGATATCAGCTAATGTTTAAGATTCCTTATGATAAATGATTTAGAACTTAAATCTTTCATCTGCAGATGGTAGCAAGGTCTCTGATGCAACCTTGATGGAGGTCTTATTGATGAATGACTTTAAACTTGTTGTCAACAACACAGCATACAGTGTGTCACCTCCTGCAAAAGGTAAGAGTGATGCTTAGTAACTCGGATTATCTCACTTCATCTAGTGAAAGGCATGGGAAGTCTCAGAAAACTGGAACCTGTCTGGAGAAAGGAATTAAGGAATTTCTCTTTTTTTTTTTTTTTTTTTTTACTATTGGATGGTCCTGCTTTTTGGGGTTGGAGGTGGGGAGAGAATGAAGAAGGGTAGATTCTTGAAATGTCTTATATGACAAACACTTTCTTTTCAGAGACGCTGAGTAGTGAGCATGCTACTGAAATGGAAGATATCAAATCCTTGGTTCACAGACTGTTTGTGGCTCTACATTTAGAAGATCACCAGATCAGGAAAGAGAGAGAATTGCTACAGAAACTGGACCATCTGAAAGAAGAGTTGCTGCCTCTTGAACAGGTTGGAAAGTGGCATTGCTTTTTTTCCTTTTTAAACTCAAAAGCATTTCCTTTCATCAAGAGTAAGTCCTGTGATAGAAAAAGATTAGCATGAATGGCTAGGGTGTGTCTGTTTTGTTTGTTATGCAAACGAGGGTCAATTCAAATATAATTCAAATTACTTTCAATTCGGTTCTTTTCCCTCCTGTTATGCACATGCCCTGGGTAGAAACCACAACACCTGGAGAAAGCTGTCATGAACAAGCCTCTGCATGGCTAGTATTGGGATTGAAAGTCCTCTTAGTCACCTGTTGCTCTATGAGTTCTGAATACCCGTTACAGAAAAAACAATAGTGAGGTAGAAATCATCTGTGGCTTAGGCTAGGCTTTTTTATATCACCAAGGCAGCAAGGCAAATTGTTTGGACTAATGGTTGCCATAATCCAAGAAGGGAAGGTATGAATATTGATCTAGTGCAGGCTAAGCTAACTCAGCATGAGGGGAGGAAGCCAGAAAGAGCCTGACAAAGTGGACAAACTTTTCCTTCGCTTCAGACCTGCTTTGTGAGGACCAGCCTCAGCGTTAACCAGAGCTGCCTTGAATGGTAAATGGAAATCTAGTAGACGTAAATCCCTAATAGTGGGAAGGGGAGATTAAAAGCAGCATTTCTTGGTGCACAACAGCCAGGAGATCTGATTGCCCTTGGATTTCAGTCCTTTTCTTTCTTGGCAGGGTAAGTTTCTAAGAGGAGTCAGTAAAAGATCCTGAAAAAGGATCTAGCCCAGCAGGAGAAAACATAGTTGAGGAGCTGCTCATCAGTTGCGCTCGTTTGCTTGAACAGGTTTCTATATTCCTTTTCCTCAGATGAAAGCCAGAATCACGGACAGGGCAGATGCAAAGACCTCCAGGCTCCTATGGGTTGGCTTAGCGCTGATGTCAACACAAGGGGGAGCACTGGCGTGGCTCACGTGGTGGGTCTATTCGTGGGACATCATGGAGCCGGTCACATACTTCATCACTTATGGGAGTGCCATGGCTTTCTATGCCTACTTCGTTCTTACTAAACAGGTAAGTCTTCATTTTGTAAACGTCTGGAGTATTGTAAAGGAGGAAGACTGACTCTGAAAATCACAATGTTTGGGCTCTGATGAAAATACAATTCAGTAAGTAGCCTTGCCATCAGATAGGGACTTGTTTGATCCCTAATGGGGTTGGATATGAACATTACATTATGCAATGTCAAGCCAGGTACTGTTACACATGAACTGCAGACCTGCTGCTGAGCAGAACTACTATCTGTAAGAGTTCATAACCTAGGGAGTGAAAACTGATGAAAGAAGTCTCTCCTTTTATTTTAAATTTTTGTAGATCACTTTGAATAGTAAATGGCACCTTGCTCATTGCTGTAAAGGGAGAGCAACAAGTACTGCTGTGCCAGTTTGTGAATGCTGCCTTTCAGCAGGCCAGGAAGCAAATCACTGAACAGTAGGTTTTATTTGCTGGAGTTTACATATAAAGGGTGCAGGGTGCCAAATAGTTTGGAAATCTGGCAGTTGCATTATTGAAATATACCTAATTTAGTGCCTGAAAAAAATTTATTGCTTTGTTCTTCATAATCTGACTGCTTTTCCTTGACTTTGAATGAATGGAGGTAAATCTAGGACAGCTGAAATGGGGCAGGAAACAGGCTTTGTTCAGAAGAAAAAAATTTTGCTGGGTAACAAAAAAACAGATCTTAACTGAGCTGCAGAACACACTTGTCCTGAAATCCTGTAAGACTTCGAGGAATGTTTCTTTTTCCTATTTTAGCTCTGTACTTTACTCCCAAAGTGGACATCTCGATGTCAAACTTTCTGTGATGCAAAATTCTTTTTGTTACGGAGGTATGTGGAAGAGTAGCCAACGCTTCCTTCCGTAATACCGATGGATCTATAGACCTCGTGAGACGTCAGGTTCCTTTAGTGGAAAGGGGAGATGTGTCTGTTTTTATGAACAGCTGGCTCTGAATGCGAATTTTACTCCTCCTCACTGACTTTTAAGAAGGGCTATGGCATTCCTACTTTTTATATGTGAGTAGATAAAGAGATTACTACTTGGCTTTTCCGAACAGCTGCTGGCGCCATTGCTTGAGACTTTCAAATAAGTCTTTGAGAAATAGTAGTTGAACTTTCTCTGACTCCTTGGAAGTAGTGTCTGTTGACTCAGGCAGCTCCTGTCATGAAGATCCACGCTGTCTTTATTATGACTGAAAATTCCTTTAGACGTGATAGAAATGATTCATACCATGTGTCTCAAAGGGCCTTATGACTTACAAGGGCATAACTTCATATGTAGCCTCTTAACAGAACATGTGTGTGTGTTGAACTAGATAAATCTTCCTGAAACAGGCTGAATTTCTATTGAAAACTCATTTGCGCAGATAATCTTCTGACCTCTACCCAGTTTTCTTGCTAACCCCAAATATGTGCCCTGCTTTCTTCACCAGGACTACATTTACCCTGACGCTAAAGACAGGCAGTTCCTCCACTACTTCTATCAGAAATCCAAAAAACAGCATTTTAATGTGGAACGATATAACAAGCTCAAAGAAGACCTAGCAGAGGTATTTAAATACAGTCCTTAAATAATGAGGTAGCCTCTGGGTTAAGACTTTTTCAGTAAACGCTCAGCTAATGGAAAATTGACCTCAAGGTTTGTGACTTACATTCAAAACAAACAGTGTATTGCTTATCAGCCAGTTTGAGCTGTTTAAATAACCATACAATGTTTGCCATTGATGTATAAACTACTTCAGTAAGTCATCAGAAAGGGAGACCTTCATGAATTTAATTTAAAACAAATAAGTCAGTTTATCAGCCCAGACATCCATTTTTTGCATACTCGAATATGTTGCATTTTCAGCCATTTTAATAGAATAGCTGTATTGCTTTGGGAGACAGTGTGCTTGCTGCACTGCTGTGGTAACACAATCTTCTCCCTTCCTTGGAAGAAAACTGTCTTGCAGAGTTCAGCATTTAACAATTTAATCCTATTCCTCAGGTAAAAGGCTTAGATTTCCATCCAGTCACCCATATTCTCTCAAAGGTGGTGGTGTGTGTCTGGGAGAAATTTTGTAATCTTCATGAAAAAATGTAGCAGATCCCACTCCTCAATTCTTACTCCCCCATTCCATCTCCCCAGCCCTGTGTTCCATGTCTCATAAAAGAAAACTGAAACTACCCCTAATTTTAGTTCAAGACCTGTGGTTCAGGGTATCATTCCATGAGCCACATTTGGCATAAGGCTAGAGTTTGATGCTTCTTCAGTATCCTTTGAGTATGAATTTTGTAATTGTCATTTCAGGAAAATAATACTTTGGGGTGTGGGTGGATGGGCAGAGCACATGCTTCTCTCTGGAGACTGGCTGAATGACCTGTAAACGTTCGGCGTCCTCCATTCGATTAGTATGGTTTCTTGCATAAGACCAATGCCTTCTGAGAAAAGAAAGATACTGGATGTGTGAAAAGAGGAGGAGAAGACGGAGGGCTGCAGAAGGACGAAATCTCACTCTTTCTTTCACTGGCAGGCAGAAGAATCCCTGAGGCGTCTGCGCCAACCTCTGCACCTGAGGCTTCCAATCCAGGAAATCAATGACAAGGACTGACTTTGGTTTTTCGTATATATTAGAATTGCCTTTTCAAAGGTGATATGAACATTTAGTTACTTTATAGAAACTGGGTATTTTTGACCACTATAGTTTTGAAAGTTGCAATAAATAACTATAAAAATGATTTGGTCACTTGGTGGTTTGGGATTGTTTTTTGTTTTTTTTTTTTTCTTTCTTAAATACTATAAAGAAGTTGCTGAAGCAAAGTTCTTCAAGATATTTGTCAAACCTCATTAGTAAAATGGAGGCATTCTGCCTGCTGGTAAAATGACAGGGATATTTTATAGAACAAGGGCTGTCTTTTAGGACTATTTTCTATAGCACAGCAGTAGCTCATAGAATAATTTTCTGCATTGAGTATTAAGGATTTTTTTCCTGTTTTCCTTTCCCTAGCTCTGTGCTTTAACTCTGATAGAACACCATTGGTGGAGGTTAGACATGCATTACAAGTAAGCTTTTTTAGTAAATATTGCTAGGAAAGTAAGATATATCAAACTCATTTACTATAAAATCATTTATGTTTCACTGTTGCATTTTATTGAAAGAATTTATCAAAACATTCAAGTTTATACATCCATGATTTATACAAAGCTTAAAGTAGCCATAGTAAGATTTAACATCTGTGACTCAGAACATAGTATATGGAAAGATTAGCTAAAGCAGAGCCAGTAAGTCAATTCTTTTATACCCAGGAAAGTGGATTAAGACACTTTTCTCAGCATGAGTTCTCCATTGTCCCCCAGAGTTAAGCATATGTACCAATAATGTAAAAAATAATAAAAGAAATATTTGCTTCTAGTGAGTATCATTGAAATTACTGATGCTGCAGCAGTAACAATCCTATGGTGAAACATCCTGTGGTGACAAATGCGCTATCACTTTTATATACACCGTGGCAGTGTATGGCTGATCTCCCCTGGGGCCAAGGGGAGGAAGAGGCTGATCTAGCACCAAGGCCTGAAGTATGAAGGTTTGCATACGTTGTATTTTGCAGAGCTGCCTAGGTATGTCCAGCAGTTGTGAGCCTGGAACCTTGAAACGATTTGCTTTAGCTTGAGAGATGTGTACAAGGTGAGCTTACCCAAAGTCATGCTAAGTGAGCTGTACGTGATCTCATTTCGCTACTGCTTGCTTTTCTCCTGAGGATGCGAAGCACCAGCAAGCTTTAATTGTGCCCCAAACATAAATGATGTGCAAGCAAAAATAAGCCCTTTATCTATATTAATGCTACAATTGTACTCAAGGAATTAAGTTCCTTTTTAGTGTTCAGAGAAAATAAAAAAATGTCTAAAAAGCTATAAATTCACAAAAATTGGAAGGTGGATACTGCTGTCCACAGATTTAAAAAGACATCCTACAAACATATTCCCTGTAAACTGTGCTCTTGGAGCAAGAAAAGCTAATCTAATGCAACATTTGAAATGTTTTGGAAATAGTAAAATGTGCCATAGTTAGATGGCAATCAAGCAAAGAACTTTTAAGAAAAAAAGTAATCTAGAGTACCAATTTCAATAAAATCTGAGCACCTCTTAATAGTTTTGCACCAGTCAACTTTTCCCAAATTCCCTGAGATGAACAGAGCTGTAATAGTAGCTTTAAAATTGCTTTAAGATTTTAGAAACTATTATATATGCAAACTATAACATTTGATCCCAGTGTTTTTGCAAACAACCTTGTAGAATATTAGTCTCCTGAACTAAGATGGTGTGTTCTTCACTTCTGCAGTGAGTAGTAGTTAATGGTTGTCATTGTTATTTAACAATCTACTTAGATTTTGGATGAAAATACAATTTTTTAGTTAACATTGAGGCAAAACAGGGAATCTGTTTTTTTCCTATAGCATTAATGTCTCTGCACATATCCACTTTGCGATGAGATACTTTCCTGTTAACAACAGTAAGAAGTTCTGTGAACTCCAAGGAAGAGCCGTGCTTCCTAAGTGCCTCACACAAATCTTGAATGTACCAGGAGCCATTTTCAGTTTCACGATGAGAAAAGTAACCTATTGTAGAACAGGAGCATGAAATTATATCCAAACATAAGTAGTGATGCCACTTGAAAAATATTCATGATAGTTACTGCTTGCTAGCTGCATCCGTAAGGGATTACTAATGGGTGTAAATCTTACTTTGCCAATTATGTAATTTCACTAGATGTTGTGGATAGGAAATGGCTTTGAGATCACTTATAGTGCTCAGCCAAGAGGAGCATGGTTCAGGGACTGGTAGCTTACAGGATTGTATCTGCACATTACAAGAGAGCAGATGGGACTGAGGACAACATGGAGGACTGGAGAGGACAGCCACATAGTGCAAGGAAATTTATAAGCCACCAGAATCCTACAGTGCTGGAAAAGAGAGGAATGTTTGCTGTCAGCAGACAGCTCAGCAGCAATATTATGATGAGAATGTTTCTGCTTGGCAAATTAACTGCAACCTTGATGGTTTATTTTCACTTTCCTTAACATGTGAGGCTCTTTCCCAGACAAGATGTCACTTATCAGACATGCAAAACAGATGACCTGGAACTGTACTCATTGTTTTGTTTGCAAAATGAAGAAGTGTTCAAGCTTGTTACAGTGAAGTAGCAGACATCAGATGTAAATTACTACAACTTACCTTGTGCCACAGAGTAGCACATGATAAAGTCTGCGCCAGCAGGCAGGGTATAGACACCAGCTGCATCCACTTCAGTCTCATTGACAACAGATTCATCGCTACCATCTATTGAATCCTGAGCAATAACTGGATCGTCATGTTTATCACCTCGACATGCCTGTTGGTGAGAAGTATTGTTATGCTTTCACCTCTGCCAAGCTCACCTATGTTAGTATGATACTTCTGACACTAACCAGAGAGGACTTCTGTTCAGTTAGGTGTTCCACATTACCATGAGTCTGGATTCATAAAGACCCATTTACTTCTCTATCAATTAAAATATTGGTGACGAAGCCCAGTGAAAGCTCTGAGATGATCACAGAATCGCTGAGATTGGAAGGGACCTCTTGAGATCACCTAGTCCAACCCCCCTGGCTCAAGCAGGGTTAGCTAGAGCAGGTTGTCCAGGACTATGTCCAGTCAGCTTTTGAGTGTCTTCATAGATGGAGACTCCACAAGCTCTCTGGATGACCTCTTCCAGTGTTTGACCACCCTCACAGTAAAAAAGTGTTTTCCTGTGTAGAGATGGAATTTCATTGGCTTTAATTTGTGCCAGTTGCCTCTTGTCCTGTCACTGGGCACCACTGAAAAGAGCCTGGCTCCCTCTTCTTTATTCCCTCCCACCAGGTGTTTATAACATTGATAAGATTCCCTCCAAGCCGAACAGTCCCAGCTTTCTCAGCCTCTCCTCATATGAGAGATGCTCTAGTCCCTTAATCGTCTTTGTGGCCCTTTGCAGGACTCACTCCAGTAAGTCCGTATCTTTCTTGTACTGGGGAACCCAGAACTGGACACAGTACTTCAGATGCAGCCTCACCAGTGCTGAGTAGAGGGGAAGAATCACCTCCCTCGGACCTGTTGGCAAGGCAGTCTTGAGTAAATGCTCTGAAGCACAGCCATCGTTACATGCTGTTACACTTGGCCTCTTAGTTCAGTCTCAAATGTGTTAGTTGAGGGCGGGTTTTTTGTGAGAAGCCAGTAAGTGAGCCCAGTATTGTCACCGTTGCAGAAAGGCTATACGTGGAGAATAAGAAGGTAAGAACACACTCAAAAGATACAAAGTAGGTAAGGAGCGCTACTTAAGAACTGTCACTAAAGAGAGAAACATGAAAATCTTCTTTCATTTATAGTGATGAAATTCCATCTTTGCTGTTTCCACTGATTTCCAAAGGTAAATGCTATGCCAATTGTGCTGTAACTCAGTTAATTTGCTTTTTGATAAGTATATATTATAAATGTTTCCAAGTATTAGTTATAACTTAAAATTGAAATATGCAAATCATTTTCCATCTTTTGCACCTGGTTAAAAGAAAAAAATCAAAGCCAAATGAGTCCTAATGAAAGATGAATTAACAATGTGCCGATTCTTGCAGCGGCCTTGTTCCTAAGGAAGCTTTCATTTGAAAAAAAGGTAATTCTTAGAATTACTCTATAAACTACTACAATTACAATCTGCTGAAGGCCAGGTTCTCATTTGAGTTTGCTAATTGTAATCTGGATAAAGATGGGATAAAGCCCTGTGTAACCTGGTTTGACCCCATAACTGACTCTGCTTTGAAAAGGAGGCTGGACCAGAGACCTCCTGAGGTCCCTTCTAACTTGCATTATCCTGTGAACCAAGGAAGGAAACAGGCAGTTACACGTGGGCTTTATTTGACTACTTAGCACAAGCAGTATTTCTGAGACAATAAAACCTTAAATTGATTCTTTAAATTCTACAGAGATGCCAATTATTGGTCATGGACAGAAAAGAAACAAAACAAAAACCCAAAGAAAACCAGAAAAAACATCACCACCACCAAAACCAACCAAACAAAAAACCCCCACAAAAAAACAACTTCTGTAAGGATCAAGTAAAGGGACTTGCCTGTAAGGAAACACTGAAGGTAAGGAGGTTTGATAGCCTTCTACAGCCTATCCTAGGGCTGTGAGGTGTGAACAGTAGTAGGAACGGAGCTGGGGCTGTACACAACTTTCTCAAAAAAAAATGATACTGTCTTCTCTGCCATTAAATATACACTGACAGTCAATCCGACATAGGCTTAATTTGGGTTGCTCTTCATAAAATTACTTCTTATTAAATACAGCTAGAATAATAATATTAACACTTGTGTACATAAAGGTTTTTAAAAAAAGAGAAGAATCCATGTCTTAAATGCCTTTAAGGAACAGTTTTCCATACCTTCTTTCCTAAAGACGCAAAAACTTTCCCTTGTGGAAAGACTGTATCAGGAAAACTGACTTCTGTATTACAAGAAGACATAGGTCAGTGTTAGCTCCACTGAATTCAGAAACAGACATCTTACCTGAATAATAAATATCTTCGGTTTTCCTACCAGACTCTGGCACTTGTCTCCTCTGAACATGTCTGTGATTGTCTCAATTTTGATGTGGGTATCATATGCATAAACGTGATCATTCTCACCATGACTCAGGAACACACAAACAAAGCAGTCAGCATTGCTGTGGTC